CCAGTCCCTTTGCAGCACAAATTGAGGCAGAAATTCAGGGCACTGAYAGAGCCTCTCATCTTCCCCCCCGGCAGGATTTGTGTGGCCATGCCCTGGTCTGAAATCYCTAAACCAGGGTTTGTTTGCTGCCCTTTTCTGCCTACACAGAGAGCAGGAGGCAGCCAGATCCACAGGCACAGTCACTGCAGGCAGGGAAGCACAACAAGCTGGAGATTCTCATTTATTTTCTCGCTGTTCCTTGCAGAAAAAAGATGAAGCGGGTTTGGGAGAGAGCCGTGGATTTCCTGGCYTCCAACGAGTCCCGGATCCAGACAGAATCCCACAGGGTGGCGGGGGAGGACATGCTGGTGTGGAGATGGACTCAGCCCTCGTACCTGTCGGACTCGGAGCACTGAGGGGCAGCAGGAGCGGAGCAGCCGTGGATTTTGGATGTGGATCTGGACCCTCGGCAAGGCTCAGGCCCCCTCGGTGGTGGTGGGAGCAGCAGGGCCTGGCCCGAGGGTTGGGGGTTGCACGGCTCCGTTCRCTCTCCTGGCTGAAACTCTTTCAAAACACTCACATTCAGGGCAATAATGGCTTGGAAGGAAGGTGGGCTTGAGCTGGTGGGAAGMTGGAATTGCACCAAAGCGAGCCTTCCACAGAGACCTGGCTCCCGTGGCAGGCAAACAACAACCTGCAAAGAATAAATGCACGCCCCTCCCGAGGGCTGGGGGGCTCTGCCTGAGCCTGGGAGGTGCAAAATTGGACCTCAAATCTGCAAAGGTCAACTGGTGGCAGAGTCCATCAGGGAATGTGCTGAAAAATGACATTTCCCATGGAAACATTAGGGTGGCAGTTCAGGCGTGTCTTTGTCAGCGTTTGTTTTGATCAGTGCTGAGGCAGTGAGGAAACGCTGCTTCCCAGCGAGGAAAATGTTCTGTGTTGGCTTCATCCATCCARAATTGGGGAGGGAGGGAGAAATTGGGTGAAGGTGGGCCTGGAGAGAGGGAGGGAGCCTGAGGTGCCTTGGTGGGCTGGGCTGCGGGTGGTGGAGGAGAGTTGGTGACCCTGTTACACTTTAAGTCTGCAGTCTGTGTGCTTTATTATTTTAGGGTGGGGCGGGGGGGATTTGGGTGGAAAATAAAGGATATAGGAAGCTTCTAAAGAGGCTTTCCTTTGGCTCCAGCCACAGGATTGCTCCGTGGCTCTTCAAGAGCAGCTTTGGGAGGGCTCTGAGGGCTGAATTTCATGTTTGAGCTGGGCAGCTGCGGTGTCTGTGTTTGTGTCAGAGCAGGGATGTGCCAGCACTGGGATTGTCGCTGTTCCTGCAGTCCCCACGGGTCCCAGGAGCAGCCTGGGTCCATCCCAGCCCTGCTGCATCGTTATCTTGTGTCTGTAATCACTTGGTTACTTCAGCTTCTGTTTCTGTCTGGCGAAGAAACGTTTGTTTCCCAGGAAATGGCACCAGGGTGTGGCAGTTGAGGCTGGGCAGAGGAGCTGCTGCTCTGCTCTGCTCTGCTCTGCTCTGCTCTGCTCTGCTCTGCTCTGCTCTGCTCTGCTCTTCCAGGGCTCTGCAGCAGCTCCTGGGGAGGCTGCAGGACCCAAATCCATCCAGGAGAAGCTGCAGAGTGCAGCCAGCAGTGCTTTGAGCCCTGCAGCCCGGGGATGTGGCTGTCCCTGAGGATACCCTGGGGTTGGATGCACRGATTGCTCCAGTCCCAGGCTCTGGGCTGGCTCAGGGCACGGGTGATGCYACTCTGGGTGTGTCCCCTGTGCCAGTCCTTGCTCACCTGGCAGAGTCTGCATCTCTGCCCACGTGGGGAGCATGGAGACTCTGCATGGATGGAGCAGAGCTYTCCAGGAGCAAAACGAGGAGATCTTTCCCATGAAATTGGGAATGTCCTGCGTGGAGGTGGCTCTTACCCCAGATTTTTTGGGTGTGGGTGTTTGGGCAGGAGACTCAACAGCTCTGCAAGGCAAGGACCAGCCCCTTRCCCTGCAATAAATAGGGAATAAGGRCAAYCTTGATTCTTCCAAAATATRTCAAGATCATCACTGCTGCCAGAGAAATTCTCTCAAACACCGGTGCCTCTGTTCTTAAACCTTTTTAAATTCGTGGTGGGGTTTGGGTGAGCTTTTTTAACCGTCCAGAAGCGCAGAGTCAGGCATTGCTGTCATCCTTTTGTATTAAACCTGGTTTTGTAGAACAAACTTCAATGGCTTGGTGCTGTTTCTATGTTCCATTTAGCTCTGTAAAAAAAAAATCAATATCAAAAATAAATTTATTACCCATTATTTACTCCCTTTATTTATACTGAGAAATCACAGACTGTCCTGAGTGCTTTTGCTTGGATCAGGCTGAGTTCCAGCTTCTTCAGAGTCCTTGGGAGTGGTTCCAGACTCAGCAGTGCGTGACTTCTGTGGGAAGGGGTGACTCAGGTTTGGTTTGATTCATCTCATCCTGTGGGTCTGGGTGACAAAGGGGATTTCCAGTGGCACAGGAAGGGGGTGGTTCTGTGACTSTGACCAGCAGGAGCTGCCTCCTCTCTGGCTGCAGCTGCTGCTGTTTGGGAACAAAAGGAGATCAATGCAAGGCTGGGTCTGCTCGGCCAGTCCCCAGATGAGGTTGCTCAGTGACAGCTGGAATCCCTTCGAGATTGGGAAATGGGGCTGCTCAGAGTAATTCCATGTGCCAGGGGCTGTTTGTTCCCTGGTGGTGGCTGTGACAGTTGCCCCCCCCAGTGTCCCTCCCAGTGTCCCCTCTTCCATGTCCTGTCCCCAGGCCAGAGCAGACCCTTTCCATGCTGGACTGGACTGGCCATTCTGCTGGTACCCCTGGTTTTCCTGGGAACAACGGATCCTGCACTCCCTGCCCTGCTCCCCTCCCAGCCCCTGCTGCCAGCCAAAGCTGCTGAGGGCCCTTTCCTACTTTGCTTCAAAATAAATTTCTATAATTAACTGCATTTCTATAAATAACATCTCTGCTGGAGCTGCTGCATCCCCTCCCCGTCAGGGAGGCAAACGTGGCCCAGCGAGGGCTCTAAACCGAAACCAACTCTTTTATCTTTTCCTTTCCTGCTTCCATTTAAAGCCCTTCCCACGGGATGTTTTTCCTGCTGCTGACACCACAGCTGATGCTGCACCTTGTTGACGGGCACAGAGTCAGGGCACGGGGCCAGTTCTCCTGGAAAGATCCAGCAGAGCCGGGCAGGGAYGGGCACAGCCGGTGCGTCCTGCCTGGAGCTGCCACCCTCCTGCACAGCCCCATCCAGGGCCATCCCTCGGGGATTTATCCAGGATTCCACCCAGCTTTAAGGAGCAGCCTCCAGGGAGGTGTTGCAGGAGGGGTTTGGGGAGGTCAGTGAGYGACCCTCACTGTGTCACCACCCCCGAGGTGAGGTTGTCCCCCTCTCCCTGCTCAGGCCTCTCCAGCAGCCCCTGCTGTTGTAGGAACATTTCTGTGGGGTCAGTGGGGTCTGATGCAAAGCCCACAGGGGTCTGAACCGGCTCTCCACAGCAAGGAGACCCCAGTGGGTCACAGAAACCTTTGGTTTTGAGCTCATCTCACCCAGGGTGGGGTGAGGACTCTGACCCCACATTGCCCTCCCCAGTCCCTGGAGAGCAGCAGCTCCCTGGAATGTCCTCTCGGGTGGCAAGGGGACACCAGAGCCTCCTCTGCTGTCCCCTCTGACAGAGGAGAATGCCCAGGGAATATTGGGATGAATCTGGGGCTGCTGAGGTCACCCAGGAGCAGCCCTGGCTCCCCTGAGGTTCTGCCTCCACCTCCCCTGGCAGCGTCCCCTGTTTGAGCTGAGCTGGGACCAGTTTGGAGTGGGGACCTTGGCCAGGGTGGGAACTGGGAAAGGTTTGGAGCAGGGACCCTGGCCAAGGTGGGAATATGTCTGTGCCATTAATTAGCTCCTAATTAGCACAGCTTTAACACAAGGTATAGTTCTCCCCCCCAATCAAAAAGCGTTCTCCTCAGCCCAGATTCTAGCACGAAGCAGAGTGAAGCCAGGCCTTGCAAGTCTGGGTCTTTCTGCCATCCTTGCCTTTAATCTCACCCTCTGCTCCCACAATCAGTTCAATCCCTGTGCTCATCCTGAGCCCAGTTTTTCCCCTCCAGTTAGCAGGAATTCCCACATCCACCAACCCTTATCCCAACTGCGAGGTTTTTTCCCTGGCACTTCCCCTGTGGCATCCCTGGGGGATGTTGAAGTCCTCAATTTCCTGCTGGGGACCGGGGGTGTGAGTGGGCACCATCCCCTCCTTATCCTGGGYACTGCCCGGGCTGTGTGTGCCTTGTGATCCCCTAAAAAACACGCAGATCCCGTTTTCTCGGGATGCAGGTGCTGGAATGAGCCTTTGGCACACGCTGGACAGGACAGTGGGGCTTGGTGGGGCACACGCTGTCCTTGACTGGCTGCAGGGGACAGAGTGGCCCTGGCAGGGAGCTCCCTGGGACTTTTCCACTCCCCACACGGCTCCCGAGCTCTGACGTTTGTCTTTTCCCAGCACGAGGCCGTTGGCAGRGCTGGAGCTCTGGATCCACTCAGCACCTTCTGCCAGCTTTGGGCAATCCCCAGCCTCACCCCCATTGCCACCAACACCTTTCCTTTGACACAGAGAGGGATTTGGTGCCCCCCAGTCCCTCTCACCRCCCTGCTCCCATCTCACAGCCCCTGTGTCTCTCTCCTGCATCTCCCTCTGGTGTTTTCCCGGTGGTTTGGGAGCTCTGGGAAGCTCCATCCCTCTCCTGTCACTGCAGGGAGGTGACWAACACAGTGGGGGCCGAGCTGGGGGGGAGTTCAGTGGAAAACAGATGGACAAATCCCCGGCTGTTTTCCTGGAGAGCCGATTGCCCAAGAGATGAGGAGCGCACGGCTGGTTCCTCTCGCCCGTCCCATGCCCTGAGTCGAGGCCGTTTCCCTGTCCCACCCGGGGTGTTTCTCCCTGGCACAGCCCGGCTGGAATGTCAGCTGGACATTCCGGGCTCGTGCCAGCGCCGACGCAGTCGGGCCATGCCCAAATGTTCCCTCATTCCTCCCTCTGGAGTTGCAGCGAGGAGCAGCGAGAAACACAGCACAGGCGGCACCCCGAGAACCCCAGAGTGGACACCTGCACCCACAGGTGAGGTCTGGGGCAGATTTGGGGCAGGATGGACACGGCTGTGGAGATGGGGGGATGTTATCAGGAAGGCTCTGGGACAGGAGCAGCAGGGACACTTGGGGCTGGTGGGAATCTCTGGAGCAACCTTGGGGCTGCAAACATGAGCAGGGGGCTCTCAGTTCTCCATCAGGCTCATGGAATGGCTGGGAAGCGTTGGGCTGGGGAGTGGAGGGGTGGGAAGTGCTGTGGAAGGCAGAAAATGGGCAGGGGGTGAGGGAACCTGTGTCCTTTTCTGTGGAGTTTGGTGGCACTGTGTCTGTGGTGGCACTGGGTCTGTGGTGGCATCTGGTCTGTGGTGGCACTGACTCCTGTGGTGGTACCGGGTCCATGGTGGCATCAGCTCTGTGGTGGCACCAGGTCCATGGTGGAATCAGTTCTGTAGTGGCACTGGCTCCTGAGGTGGCACCAGGTCCATGGTGGAATCAGGTCTGTGGTGACACCGGGTCCATGGTGGCATCAGCTCTGTGGTGGCACTGGCTCCTGTGATGGCACCAGTCCTGTGGTGGCACCGTCTCCCAGCTCTGCAGCGCTACTTTGTGCTCCAGGTGAGCTCCAGCAYCCGGAGCTGTGCACACACAGATCACGGCCACTTCTTTTCCCTTTTAACGAAGCAAAGCAAAGTATCCGCAGCCCCTGCAGTGCCTGGAACCCACCTTTGCGATGCTCCGGGAGCAGGGAGGTGCCCAGGAGGTGTGACRCKGTGACAATGTGACACTGAGAACRCTCCTGTGCACGGAGCTCTTGTTTTCAGAGGGATTTTGCTTTTTAATATTCCTGGGTGTTTCTGCCACAAGGACCCAGCTCAGCCTGGCTGTGCATTTCCCTCAGACTYGTTTGGGATGGGATGGAGGAGGTGCTCATTCAAGATGAGAGAATTTAATCTCGCTGATTCCTTCTGGCTCGGTTTGGAGTTGGGAATAAACAACCTGTTCAGCTGTTCTGACATCCAGCCCTGCCTGGGGAACAGAGCTCATTCAGTTTCAGCCCTGCCGGGATCAGGGACACCTTCCACGGTTTTTCCAAACCCCCATCCCTTTTCTGGAGAATGGAATATTTCATATTCTCCATATTCTCCTTCCCCAGTATTTCCTGGCTCACCTCCACCTGCAGCACCTGAGCTGCTTTTGCTTCAGCTGGGGGGAAAACACTGCCGGATCCCGGTTTTGCTCRGAGGCTCCGGATTTCTCTGTAATTCCGTGTATTTTTAGTGACGTAAATATCTCCTGGCATTTGCGATACCTTGAGCCAGTGGAAGTGATTTATTTCGAGTGTCTTGTTTCAGGGGGAGCTCAGAGCAGCTCAGYGTTCGCAGGAACATTTATCTGCTCCGAATGGATGAGCTGCTTCCCAACAGAAACTCCCAGAAAAAGAACCTTCTTCTCCTGCAAATCCTGCTCCGAGTTTTGCTCGGGAGTAAACATTCAGAGCTTTATCAAATCGTGGATTTTTTTTTCTCCAACTCCCTTCGCAATGCCAAGGTTGCCAGAGCTGTCAGGGGGTTGTGTCAGCCGAGTTTCAGCCTTGGACTGTCTCAGAAGTAAGAAAGGATTTAAGTCATGTTGTTCCCTGCTCCTAAGAGGTGTTATRACAAATCCGCTTGCTTTTGGCTTTTCTCCTTCTTTTTAAGATGGGAGGGAGGGGGGAAAAGCCACACAAAACAAACCACAACAAACCTGCGGCTCCCGAGGCAGAAAATCCTCTTTAAAAATTGCCACAACTTAACGAAACGCTGAATGCTTTTATTAACTCCYGGGAAGGCTCGGAGGAGCCGCTTTTCTTCCCGGCTGGAAAGCGCTCGGCTCGGGAGCCCGGCTTTGTTCCTCCCGGGGAGGTAATTGTAGAGCAGGAATTCCTTTCCGAAGAATGGAATAATGGGAGGGGAAAAACCCCACCCTGAGGGGGATAAAGGAGCTGCTGGTGGGTTTGGAGGTGGGAATGGTTCTGCCCTGCCCTCAGCCCACTCCATCCCCCTGCTGCAGGTGGGAAACAAAGCGGGCACCTGTGCCAGGTGTTTTTTCCTTGGGGTTAAKCCCAGCAGGAGGGGAAGGGGAGATTTGAGTATCACGGAGGATTCAGAGTTGGAAGGRACCCAGAARGATCCTGAGCTCTGGATCCTTCCTGCAGGATGGGGAATCTGYTGGGTGTCACTGGCTCAGGTTGGCTCCAGGAAAGGCTGATCTGCCCTTCCCACAGAGCCCCTGCCCACGATGGGAAGCTCCCGGTGCCTCCAGGAGGTGCCACCATCCCTCTGCCTTTCCCTGGCTCACAAGGACAGGTGACAGCGCTGCCCTGGTCACATCTGTCCCATGGTGCTGGCCCCGGTGGTGCTTCTYGCCTGGCAGCACATCCTGGAGGCTTTCCTGGCAGAACTGGATCCTCCAAAGGCATMATTCTCCACCACACTGGGGTTTTGCTGGTACAAACTGGGTGCAAAGCTCCCCAGGTTGTGCTGAAGCTGGAGCAACGAGGAGAAAGGGCCTGTGAYTTAACACCTCAAATGATGATTTGAATCCTTTTTTTTCCCATCCTGGTGAGTTTGGGATGTGGAGTGTCCATCTTTGGTGTAAATGCCTGGATGGGGAGAAGCCAGGCTGCTCCAGCACCAGCAACAGCTCCTTTTTGTCTGCCTTGGTGCCTGTGGGATTCAATTCCCAATGCCCAAGAGCCATCTGAGGGGTTCCTGTGAGGAATGAGGGGAATGAGGAGCGGCTGCTGGTGGGGATGTGCCACAGAGGCACTCCAGGATTTTCTGATTGCTGTCAGGATCCGGGAGGAATTTCCAGAATCAGGCATGGATCTGTGGCTGGGTGCAGGGTGGAAAACTGGGTGTGAACCCTGCGGGTGCTGGTGTGACACATCCCCATCCGCCTGGGTGCGTGTGTCAACTCAGCAGAGAAATGCTCCCGCTGCTGCTTCCTGACCTCTCCCTTTCTCAGAAAGTCAGGGGCCTCTGCAGATTTATGGGACAATATTAAAAAGATGCTTAAAGGAGAAAAGTTTCCTCTGAGCAGTTTCCTCTGGCAGGGCCCAGGGTTTGGTGCTGCAGCTGATAAAGCTGTTCAACAGTCCCAGTTTAACCAGTCCAGGTGTTAAATGACAGGGAATGGCCCAAACTGGGGTTTCTGTGGAAGGTGCAGAAATTGTTGYGAACCCCACCCACAGTGTTGGAGGGCAAGGGAGTGCCTGGGGACTTGTAGGGGTTTTATTAACACTGCTGCTGTGCAGGGAATGGGCAAGGGAAGGCCTGGGGTCATCCTAATGCGGTCTGTGGGACAAACTGGGGCTGTTTTACAGCATCAGCGCTGTGTATTAATAACCCACCCAAGGAATCCCTGATCCTGCCACCTTGGCAAGGCCACTGCTTYAATTCCCAGCTCTTCTTGATCTTTTTTGTCCCCAACAGATCAGAATTGGACTTTTCCTGAACTCTGTGTGCCAGCCTGGGGCTCCTACCAGCCCCTGGGCGCTGACACATCCCATCCCACC